TTTTTCTGGGAGGGCTTAGCCAGTTTTGTTGTGGAAGGAAGGCAACCCTTCTGTCTGTGTCTCTTTATGTTTTCCTTTCCTGTTACATCCAGGAGTATTTGAACTCTTCTGAAAATTGTCTGCCAAATTTGTCGAGAGAGCAGAAACTTTAAGTAAAGTTTCTACAAGCTTCATGGATGGGAAGCCAGATTTCAAAGTTTCCCTAATTTAACGCACAGAAAATTTTTATCCTGCCAGCCAGATTCTGCAACAGAATATGGAAAAACTCTGAGGGAAGAAATTATAGGAATATATGGAACTGTCAAGAAATCTTAATATAATGTGTTTTTAATTGTCAGTCAAACATCAGATGCAATCTTTAGGAGCCTGGCTTTAATTAGTCCTAGTGCTTACAGACTTATTTCTATATCAAAGCTTTGTTATGAGATATATGTAAGGTTGCATAAAAGACCCTACTTTTTTGCTTTGGTTTAACAGGTAGAGAGCAAAATCTTTGAATTTCTAGCATGTCAACACTGGATCAACATTCCTTCTGCTCTTTTCCTTCTACTTCTTAATTGATTAAAAGTAAAACTAGGAGCATAATTTTGCTGTACCAGACTGAGCCACTAATAATTCCCTTTCTAAATGGGAATGAGAGGAAGTGGCCTCAAGTTGAGCCAGGAGAGGTTTAGATTGGATATCAAGAAAAACTTCACTGAAAGGGTTATCAGGCATTGGAACAGGCTGCCCAGGGAAGTGGTGGGGTCATCGTCCCTGGAGGTATTTAAAAGATTAGTAAATGTGGTGCTTGGAGACATGGTTAAGTAGTGGACAGGTTACGGTTGGACTTGATGATCTTAAAGGTCCTTTCCAACCAAATTATTCTATTACTTGTTCTGTATTGCAAGAGGATGTGGCAACCATCATAGTTATTTGTCAATGGAGACTATATAATTATATAAGTCTGGGAAAAAATGTGGGAGACAAGCTAGAAACTGTCTTTGTCAGAGAAATAAAATTAGCAATTTCTATTTCAACAGTAAACTAAAACTCACTGTTCAGTGTGAGACAGGACAGAAAAGCTGAAGAATCTTCTCAATCACAGTTTATAAATGCGTATATAAGGAGTTTGTTGTAGGGGCTCTGTGGCTTTGCTTGCTGTAAAGGTTTGCTAGGCTTAAGGTAAGCACAGAGAACCTGAAAATAAACCAAACTGAAAGAATAAGGGGTAAATATATCGGTATCTTCTGAATCATTATGGTACTTAATTACTGCTAGAAATAATTAACTATTGGAAGAGTTAATGAGAGTTGTTATGTATTTTCTCTCACAAGCAGTCCTTTTATCAAGATGTCTTTGTGAAGGACATGTTTAAGCTCATCCAGAAGTAAGTGCAGTTATAAGCAGGAATTGCTGACTGGAATTTTATAGCACATGTTATGCAGCATGACAAATTAGGTAACTGCAGTTGTTCCTTCTGGCTGTAATGCTTTGCAATCCCATATTAAGTCAGGTTGTGGCATTTATTTTGTCAGCCTATAGAGCTCAAAGATCATAGTGAGTTGTGATCCTTTAGGACAGCGCTTGAATGACTATTGCTCATTTGAACAGACATGAAATTACAAAAGAATTTTTTTCCATGCTTTTAAATGACAATGCATATTTAGTGAAAGGGTTTATTTGATTTATTTGTTCAGTATGTTCATGGTTTCCCTCTCCTACAGGCTCTTGTTCTGTGTTACTTTTTGGAAACTAATTCTAAACAATACAATTTGGTTGACAAAAATGTGATTGAAATTGGAGCTGGAACTGGGTTGGTCTCCATAGTAGCCAGTTTACTGGGTGAGTACATGCCATTGCTCCTATGCTCTTGGAAACATCTCACAGATTAATACTGGAGGACAAAGTGGCTCAGTTCCTCTAAAATGCTGTTTGAAAGCTTCCAAGAGGAAGAAAAAATAAATTCCAAAAGGCTTGTTTGGAAACCTGTTCTGTTATTTTTTCTTTTTGTGTAAAGTTGTGAGTGTAGTGATGCGTGCTCATGTGTGACCTAGTCTAGGTGATCCTGCTCTGGCAGGGGGTTGGACTGGATGATCTTTTGAGGTCCCTTCCAACTCCTAATATTCTGTAATAATAGAGGTCCCAGTAGATAATGTTGTTATTAACAGTGTTAAACAGGCCACCAAAATAAGAAATTAGTGGCCTCACAAGATGTCAGTGGCAAACAGATGAAGCCAGATGTAGGCATCATCTTCCATTGACCAAGCAGCACTTGCATGCCAGGTCACTTTCTATTTATGTTCAGCATTTTCTTGCAGCAATTAATCCTTGATTTCTCTGCTACAGACACTGTTATGTTTTCTCTCATGTTAATCTATACATCCTCAAGAGTATTTTAATGGAAATTACTTACTACTTGAAAAGGAAAGAACCTGAGATATGCTTTAATCTCTTGCTGACTTTTTTTGGAGTCAGTAACTGGTATTCTTCAATCCTTAGTTGCTCACTGTACTTTTAACCAATAAGATATACTTACCACAGTAAGTATCTCATTTCTCCCTACCCAACTCCAGCTGCATTTAGATGGCACTCTGTAGAACTACTAGGAACCAAGTATTTATTTTAAGTCTAGTGGCTAATAGCTAGTGGGAGCATTTACAGTGTTCTGTCCCCCATCAGTGAGAACTAAGTGGTAAAATTGGTTCCTTGTGCAGTGGCTTTTGTGAATGAGTTTTTACTCAAGTCTTGAAGCATATTCAAAGATTGTTTGTTTTGTCCCTGTCACAGGTGCACTTGTGACTGCCACTGATTTGCCAGAACTGCTGGGAAACCTTCAGCACAACGTTCTCCAAAATACTAAATTGAAATGCAAGCACCAGCCTTGTATTAAGGAATTGTCTTGGGGAATTGATCTGGAAAAGAATTTTCCTAGGTCTTCCTGTCACTTTGACTACATTATGGCTGCCGATGTAGTTTACCACCATCCCTTCCTGGATGAACTTCTCCTAACTTTTGATCACTTGTGCAAAAATGATACTGTTATTCTGTGGGCTATGAAATTTAGGTTGGACAAAGAGAACCAATTTGTGGGCAGATTTCAGACACTGTTTGACTTGGAGGTGATTTCCAGTTTCCCTAGTTTGAGCATAACCTTGTATAAGGCAATGAGGAAAGGCAGGATGAAAAGTCAGACCTCCCAAAGTGATGGTCTGAAAGAGAGACAGAGGGGTGACAGTTCCAGCTGTTCTGCAACTTGTTCTCTTTTTAATAATTTCCATGTTAGCAGCTGGTAACACCTGCATGAATGACATTTTTAGAGAGCTAAAGCAGAACATCAGATTCCCAGTGCGTCCCCAACGAATTCCTAAATTCATTTTGCTGTTAGTTTTATACTGAAGAAATATGTCTTTGATATTTTCTTGACTTTTATGTGCTAAGTTAACAACACTAATAACTTTCATGAGTCTTACCATTATTGCTATGGGACATGTAATGAATATTTCCAATAGCTTTCAATTGCAGCTCTGAACAGTGTCTTATAAGATCAACCAATCATTTAAAACTTAAGACTATTATAAATCTTTGTGTTGAATCTGATCTTTCCCCATTCTCACCATTGCGTAAATCCTTCCTTTGAATAGCCTTTATAGGTCATTAAATTAGCTGGGAAAAAACTCCACCTGGGAAACACACTGTCATAATAAAGTGACTGAATATATTAGTTACTTTTTGATTTAATTATGCTTTTTCCCTCCTTCTATGTTTTTATTTAGATTCAGGGATTCTTCAACAGACAGCTGCACACATGAGGCAAAAGAGAGTTAAATGTTTTGTTGCTTGAACAAAGGTCTTGAATAAGAGGAGTACAGCATATCACCAACTGCCCTTTGAAAAGACCTTAAATTCTTGGATTTCTGCCCCTCCAGAAATAGACGGTTATCTGGACCTCAGGGAATAACAATGGAAAAAACAACAGTGGCCATCAAGAGAGGAGTCTGCACTGCTGACTGGTGGTGACTGGAGGTAGAAAACTAAACCAACCTGACACAGTGTAGCTGAGGAATGGGCAGGCTTAGAGGTTTTTTTTTTAATTTGTATATTTTATTATCTTTTATATAGGTAAACAAAATGCTTATCTCCTAGTCGCTCAGTACTGTGTTTCTGTTTTCAGATGTCAGAATAATGTCCTTGAAAGCCTATTGAGAATTGTCTTTTGGGAAGATTAATAAAATGATTCTTTGGACACCCCAAATTTTCTGATTCTGTAATTTTGTGTGAGAGAAATTTGAGTCCTTTGCGGGCTAGGAAAGAAGAAAACCCAACTCATGTGCTAATGACTCTGCAGAGTTTTGTGACCTCTGCTGTAGCAGGCAATTGTTTTAGTAATATGAGGGCTCTGGGGGCCGTCAGTCTTGTTATGGTTTAAGGGTTACCAGCCTGAAAGGGAAAGACAGGTGGTGTCTGTAGGACCCTGGAGGGTCAGAGATCAGTATTGTTCCCTCCCCTTTCCGGCCACAGTCTATAAAACCCGAGGTTTTCGTGGGCTTTTCCTGGCTTTCGTGGGCTGCTTCCTGTCGCATCTCGGGACGGCTGGGCCTAGCTCCAAGTGCTCGGCAGCATCCACCACCCTCCGCTCCCGGCACCACTGCGGTCCCTGGTGACGAGTCACAGCAGTCGCAGCAGCCACGAGGCACTGCTCGGACACTTCCACTCGGGACTACTGGGATCGGGTTTTGTATATAAATATCCTTTGTCCCGTATTAATTCCTTTTTCCTTTCCCCTGTTGTTTTCATTAAACTTGTTACAGTCTTAACTTCCAACCTTGTGCGGAGCAATTTTTTTTTTTAATTAATATTATTCTCTCTCTATTCCCTTCTCTTAATCCTCCCCCTGGGAGGGGTAGGGGCAATAGAGAGAAAATCCTTCTCTCTCTCTCTGACCCTTAAACGGAGACAGTCTTTATCTTTTTAGCTCCTCTTTGTACTCCCTCCAGGAGTTCTTTAGGTACTGTCAAATTTGAACATTTTTGTATAGTGGCTTCCAGAACATAGTAGTGTTTGTATCTCTTCTTGTGACAGATGCATGCTACTTATTTATTCTTCTGCCTGCCACAAGTATGGGGCAGAACTATGATAAATGTCTGGTTTAACTAGAGTGTGCCCTTACTCCCAGCCAAAGATTTGGTTTTCTTGGGACAAGGTTTCCCAGTGTTACAGATTAAGTGGTGCAGAGAGGGGAGTTTGAGCTACCACACTTTTCCATTGCGAGCTGGGGACTCCATGTGTGAAAGGAGGTGGTGAAGAGAATATTGTGGGAAGGATGGATGAGGATGTGGCAGGAGAGATCAGGAGGTGGAGGGAAGATTGCAGAGAAAAGGTAGCTGTAAGGTGAAGGTGAAATGGAAGAAGAGAAAAAGAAGTGTCAACAGTGAGACTGACTTTCAAAAGGGTTGGGAACCCCATAGCATGAGGGTAGACCATCTTTCTTGCTACTGACTGTAAGGAGGGCATCCTTCAAGAGTCACTGAGGATAACTCTATGAAAATACTAAAGCAATCAGTATTTGTCAGTCCAGGACAGTAAAATCAGAATTGTAGAATCACAGAATAATTTGGTCTGGAAAAGACATTTAAAGGTCATCTAGTCCAATCCCCCTGCAATAAGCAGGGACATCTTTAAATAGATCAGGTTGCTCAGAGCCCCATCCAACCTGACCTTGAATGTTTCCTGGGATGGGGCATCTACCACCTCCATAGGCAACATGTTCCAGTGTTTCACTGCTCTCATTATAAAACATTCTTCCTTGTATCTAGCCTAAATCTACTCTCTTTTAGTTTAAAACTCTTACCTTTTGTTCTCTCACAACAGGTCCTGCTAAAAATGTTGTCCCCATCTTTCTTAGAACCCCCCTTTAAGTACTGAAAAGCTGCAATCATGTCTCCCTAGAGCCTTTTCTTCTCCAGCCTGAACAACCCCAATTCTCTCAGCCTTTCTTCATAGGAGAGGTGTTCTATCCCCCAGATCATTTTTGTAGCCCTCCTCTGGAACTGCTCCAACAGGTCTATGTCTCTCCTGTGCTGAGGACTCCAGAGCAGGATGCAGTATTCCAGGTGGGGTCTCACCAGGGCAGAATAGAGGGGCAGAATCACCTCCCTTACTCTGCTGGTCACGCTTCTTTTGATGCAGCCTAGGATATGGTTGGCCCTCTGGGCTGCAGAAGAAAGGAAGCCAAGTACATTGATTCTACTTTCTGGCTCTCCTGCTGGGAGATAACATGTGAGATTTTGGCTTGGAGGTTATTAGTGAAAATCTTCTAATCCTCTCCAGTTAGTTTCTTGTGACAGGATTTGTAGGTAGAGGTAGTGTTTTTATTGGATCAACCAGTATAGCTAGAAAATGAGACTTTGTGCCAGCTGGTATGGATTATTATCTCTACTTACAGATAGCATTATGCTTATGTCCTTAGATCATTATAGCTGTAGAAAAACACAACTGCAGAATGGATATATTTTTCCCACACTATGTAATAGAAATAGTTCCATTTAAGTGAATAAACAAACACAGATCTCTGCCATTTCTAGATTTTGTCTCCCCACTTCCTTCCTCTTAACTCACTTGCAACCATTAAATCCACTGCAATTGAAACTCTAATCCTCACATCCCAAAGGGCATCTCTGTTTACAAATGTTTCATGGATAAATGGATTGGCATTGCAATTAATGGAACCAGTGAAAATATCTTGTGAACGCAACAGCGATAAAGGCTAAAGAGGAAAAGGAAGACTACAGCAAAGTAGTTAAGTCCAATCACCTTTAAATAGCTGTTCTGCCAATTATCCCTCCTATTTGGGCTGCAGGCTGTCCCCTGCTGAAGGCTGTCCTTCTGCTGAAGTCAACAGGAGATGTGTTCATAAGGCAGATTCAGAATTGGACCCTTTAGGCCCAACAGCTTGTTAATATTTACTGTAATGTAACATTAGTCCTGTTTCTCACAAGTCTGTCTAGCACCGCTGCGTGAAACTTCCTGGGAAAGCTCTAGGGACTGGCAGCTCTATTGTACAGCCACCTTTTGTCCTCTGCTATGATGGGCAGGTTATTAGCCATGAGCAGTGGAGGGTGGAGGTTGTGTGTGACATTTGCCTATGGAGTTTATTTCTGCTTTTTGAGAACAAGTCTCACATGAATGTCAAGTATTACTGACTCCTGAAGTCAGTCATAATTTTAATGATCACTTATTCTTTGTTCTGGTATTTCAAATAAAGAATCAAGTTGTCATTCAGTACATTATGTTGCTAATTCATATGGCATGTGCATCTGTAGTTTGTGAAAGGTGGAGCAACAAAAAAAGATCAGTGAAATCTGTGGGTGAAAGAGTTCCACTTAAGAGGAGTATCAAAGTGGCTGCCTAAGTTGGCAGGCTTTTACAGCATCTTTTAGAGTGTTATGGTAGTGATAATAATTGAAGAAATAAATTGGGATGTACAGTATGGGTTCAATCAACTCCTTGGATTTTCCATATTCCAACCCAAGAATAATTTATTGAGCAACAATATATTTAAGCAATTTGACAATATTTGTTAGATTTTCCACAAACAATACACTTGTTAAATGCTAATGTTTTCAGGAAGGGTTCTTTTTGTATAGAGTATATATAGATTCTTTACAGTGATTTACTTTACTGTTAATTATGTAACATCTTCATCAAGGTCTTTTACAAATCATCGCTTTTTCCTTTACAACATTAAAGTAACAAACAGTTTCAATATTGTATGGTTTCCATGTGGTTGCATTGAGGTTTTGGGTCTGTCATGTTGAATTATGATGTTGCAGCTCTGAGTGACTGGACTGAATTTGCACTATTAAACCCACCAATTTGGGTTTTTGCCTCCTATAACAACTGTAAGAAAAAGCTGTGTCTGCTGAACATTTAGAAAAAGCACTCAAATGACAGTACATATCTACTGTGCAAACCCCATTTTCATTTAGAAGCAGTAATAGAGACTCAGCCTAAGAAATACAGCTGCCAAAAAATACTCAAATGACTACCAATGGCACGTATGGCAGTTGAATGACTAACAACATATATTAGCTATTGTACAAGCACTAGTCAGTGTTAGGTGAGCAAAGATGACGAGCTGCCATGAGTGTCCTCTTTAATGGTGTATGGTATTAAAGATCTGTGGAGTATCTCAGCACATGAGA